AATGGAAATGCATCTACAGCTGGAGTGAGGATAAACCGGTACCCTCACTTTGGAGAGAAATTTGCCAACAGCTGTGGAGGTTGAAGAAAAGCTCAAGCTCCAAGTCACTGCTCTCAAGGACAACATCCTCTTGAAGCCATTCCTCTTCCAAGCTGACACCCTAGAGAAAATCTTGTACCTAGACTGTAGGAGATATTTACCAGGATGTTCACTGTAGCATTGTTTATAATGGCAAAAACTAGAAATAGCCTTAAAGATCCATTAACAGACAAACAGTGGTAGTTCTCATTACATATTGCTCTTGTATCCCCCCCCCCAAAATATGAAAGGCTGTGTACTCCTTCAATTGTTTTTAAGCTTTTATTGTGGTAAAATACATATAATGTAATATTTACCATCTTTACCACTTCTAAGTGTAGAGTTTAGTGGTATTAAATACATTCACATTGTTGTACAAACATTACCACCATCTATCTCCAGAGCTCTTATTTTGCAAAACTGAAACTCTGCACCTATTAAATAATAACACTCCATCCCCCTCACCCTCAACTCCTGGCAACTACCAATCTAGTTTCTCTCTCTCTCTCTCTCTCTCAAGATTTTATTTATTTATTCATGAGAGACACAGAGAGAGGCAGAGACAGGCAGAGGGATAAGTAGGCTCACAGGCTCCCGGTGGAGAGCCTGATGGGGGACTCAATCCCAGGACCTTGGGATTGGGACCTGAGCCGAAGGCAGATGCTCAACTACCCAGCCATGAGGTGCCCCACAGTACTGGTCTTTTTGTGACTGGCTTATTTCATTCAGCATAAGGTTCTCAGGGTTCATCCATATTGTACTATATGTCAAATTTTCCTTCTTTTTAAAAGTTGAATAATAATCCATTGTGTGGATATACCACATTTGCTTTTCCTTTCATCTATCCGGGGGACAGCTAGGTCACTTCTACAGTGTAGCTATTGTGACTAATGCTGCTATGAACATAGGTATACTCCTTCACTCGGTTTTAACTTCATGTCAAACATTTTCATCATAAGTGGTTGTAAAATATATAATTTCCAGTGTGTTGTAAATGTTGATGTTTTAAGATAAAACCTCTACATCGCTGTTTCTGATAGGTTATAAATAAATAATATATCAATTTTATTTCAACCATCATTTGTTTTTACACGCAAGAATATGAAATAAAAATAAATAAAAGAACATTTTCTTCAACTTTTGAAAATTTTTCGTCATCCCTTTTCCCCCTATAATTTATGAATTCTACCCATCTTCTTTTTTTTAAGATTTTATTTATTTATTCATGAGAGACACACACAGAGAGAGAGAGGCTGAGACATAGAGAGAGAAGCAGGCTCTATGCAGGGAACCCGATGCAGGACTCGATCCCCTGTCTCCAGGATCAGGCCCTGGACTGAAGCGGCGCTAAACCGCTGAACCACCTGGGATGCCCTCTACCCATCTTCTTGAATAGAAGTTTATTCTAATGTAGTATGTTTTTATGCTTGAAGATCTTTTATTGATCATACTTCTCTGCCAGAAAAGTGTATAAACTGAAATTTTAATTTCCTATAACCATGAATTTTTAAGTATTAAAATTTTATTTAGATTATGCCATCTTTATTGCTATTAGTAGCACAGATTGTTAAAAAATGGCATAAATAATAAATATTGAAAATTAAGTGTTAAATATAAAAGTAGCCTTTGGTGATAGTGATATTGCAAGATGCTACCTTAGGCGGATATTGGGTAAAGAGTATATGAGATCTCTATATTATTTATTATTAACTGCAGCATCAACCTACAATTATTTCAAAATAAGAATTTTTATTAAAAAAATAACTTTGAGGGGAAAATACAGCTCTTAAAGAGATGGATATGATCCAGTTAGTTAATGAACCCATTGGAAATGATTACTTATTGCTAAAATAAGACAAGGTACAACACCAATTATTTTCCTACTTTTGGGGAGATTTTTTCATATAAAAAATCTTGTTCCCTATGAATAAATTATTGGCTTTGTAATAGTACAGTTGCTAAATCTTTTAACTTTTTTCCAAAAAAAAAACCACATTTTTTTTACAAAACATAAAGCCACATAGTGAGCTACCATCAGAAAGTCATCTTAAGGATCTATTATTAGTTGCGTATTCATTTGCTAGGGCTGCTTAACAAAGTACCACAAACTAGGTGTCTCAACAACAGAAATGTATTGTCTCACAGTTCTAGAAGTCCAAGACAGGAGCTGAGTTCATCTCCTGTGAGAGCTGTGAGGAAGAAACTGCTCTGTCTCTCTCCTCTAGCTTCTGGTGAGTTGCCAGCCAACTTTGAGTTTCTTGGCTTGTAGAGGCATCACCCTGATCTCTGCCTTTATTTTTTACTTGACATTCTTCCACAGCATGTATCTGTGTCCAAATTTCCCCTTTTAATAAGGACACCAGTTATACTGGATTTCAATCAACCCTAATGACCTCATTTAAACTTGACTTTACCTTTGATAAAACCCAATCTCCAAGTAAGGTTACTTTCTGAGGGTACCGGGGGTTCCAATTTCAAAATATGATTTTCAGGGAGACACACACAATTCAACACATAAGAGTTGCCAATTCTAGTAGGTCTTTTTTCAATTGTGTTGAAAGCAAAGACTTGGGAACCACTGACCTGTAAGTGGATTGATTACCATCCTTAGAGTTATTCACATCTCAGTTTCTGGAAACCGACTAAAATAGGCTTTACCAATGTCTATTCAGTAGCTATGAATTGTACCACTCTTATCTCACCTAGAAGCAATTGCCTTCACACTAATGAACTTAGAAGAGGTTGGGGACATAGAAATATTTTTAATTTCAATACCCTAAATCTGCCAAAATAATATTTTAATTAAATGTTTTTATTTTATCATAGACTTTAAGCTTTGTTTTCATCAAAATTTCAGAGCTAAGGATTTACCTAATTTGATTTGTTGCAAATAAAAATGCTGCCAACTAACCTCATTGGCAAAGTCAGTCTTTAATATCAAAGCAGTTAATAAATCAGACTTTGTGTTAAAAGAGAAAGTGTGGTTCCTTTTGCAATACTAATGAACATGCTAGGAACAAGTGCACACCCCATAACAACTGTCTGGCTTCTGCATTGAGGCTCTACAGAGAGAGGTGAGTAAAATGATGAGGCCCAGGGGTTGGCCACGAGATACTCTAGCTCCAGCATTTCTCCCAGACACCCTCTTTGTCAGGATCTCGGGGACATTCCTCAGGAGAAATGCTTATTCATAACTAAGGGAATGGACACAAAATGGAAAATATCTGGGTGTTTCCCCTTTGATTGTTGTCCCAGAGAGTTTTGCACCTCCCGGGCATTGCACCACAGTAATGTACAGAATGGTAGCAGGTCTGCCTTTTTGTTTTAAAGCAAAAGAAGAGCAATTATGAAAGGGGAGATGGGGAAAGAGGATTGGCACGAAGACTAGACACAGACATTTATTTGCTCCTGGGCAGATCCATTTTAAGAAAGAGAACCAAAAGTTGAAGATCTGGGAAATGAGCCCCTTAAAATACAGTGTATCCCAAAGACAGCCAGCCTCCTTGTCCCCCCAAGGGTATGAATACTCTGGTTTGAGGACCACTGAAACTGTGGAATATTCACAAGATGATACTACTCTACAACATTTAAAATAAATAAATCTGTATGTGTCACCACAACTCAAACTCAAAGACATACAATATGACAATGTTTCTATATATTGAAACATTCTCTAGAAAAAGTAGGAGTGGCACAATTGAGGTGGAATTGACAGGTATTTGTCATTGAGATAAAGCAAGGCTCTGTTAGCTCTAGGACTCAGAGGCCTTTCTAGGCCCAAACAAGCTAACTCCTTCCAAGGAGACAGTATTGTCTTCACAGTCCGGGATTGGCAAGAGGAGGCAGCAGGCCATTGATTCCAAGTTGTCCCTGCAGTCAGGGTCTTAGGAGCTGCGGTCCAGAGCCCTGATTCAATTCATACCACTGCTCTGCCTGGTTATATGTTCCGAATGTCTTCAATTCATGTAAATTAAGATTCTTGTATTTCCATGTTTTAAGAACAAACACTTCAAGAAAAACAAAGACTTGCTTAATTTGGCACAAAAATTGGTTACTCTCATCTCTTTCTGGAGGTTTTTAAAAATAAGGGACTTGCTTGACGGATTGCAGTGGTTCCCATGCCTTCCTGCCATCCCACCTGAGTGCTGCAACTTGGGGGAGGGGAGCTTACCTGGCAGTGAGGGGCAGACCCCACCCAGCCCTCTGCACAGCTGGCCCTACTGCAAGCAAGCATCCCCAGAATTTTCACAAACTGTGTCTGCTCTCCTGTGTGCTGCGAGGCGGATATCGTTGTGGTTACATTGAGAATCCACCACATTCTGTAAAAAATATCATTGGGGTCACAAAGCCTCCTTGGTAGGTTTCATGTGTTGTCTTGGCATCCCCCCTACCCTTTGTCATGCTCTGTACAAAGGGACTGCCACCCCCCATGGCTGACACTTTTCTTAGCTGCAAGGCTGGAAGGTCTCCAAGTCAGCTGGAGCTCTCTTTCAGGAGACCAAGATGGCCTGCCTGCACATGGCTGTTTCCTTGTCACCCTCATTCATGTGAGTTAAGGGATAGCACTGTGTCTATATAGCCACACACACACACACACACACACACACACACACACACACACACATCTATATGCCAGGGGATGCCCTGCATGAGTCACAGTCATAACCATCATTACAAAGGGTTTTCCTTCCCCAGCATCCCTCATCTTCCATTTGTATGTTTGTAACATGTACTGAGCAAGTCCTCAACAATACAGATACATTGTATCTACTAGAGCTCACATAATGTTCATTAACAGGAAAACTAAATTATGGAACATCTATATAAAATACATGTGTTGATGTGAAAAGTTTTTCTTCTTTTGCTATGAGCTAAGAAAGGAAGGTTACAGAAAAAGACATGCAGGGTACAATCTCATGTGTCTAAAATGTTGTATAGGTGGCTGGGTGGCTGTTGGTTGAGCCTTCTGTCTCTTGATTTCCGGCTCAGGTCATGGTCATGAGGTCCTGATTTCCGACTCAGGTCATGGTCGTGGGGTCCCCAAGTAGCAACAGTGTAAGGCGTGTTCATCACCGGATTCCAAGTGGGAAGGCTCAGGCACCCGAGGAAATGGGAGGAGGGCATCCACCGGGGCTGGAAGGTTTCAGGATAGCAACAGGCTAAAAGGAAGGGGATATGAGGTGGCGCAGCCTGAGAGGGAAAACTCGTTGCTGCAGGCTTTCCCCCGGGCTTCACACAGGTCCCCGCCAGGCGCCCGGTGTGCAAGTCCCCAAGGCCTCCCCCTGCTCAACGCTCAGTTCCCATCTTGCTGGAGAGACCCTGTGCGTGACTACACGGGTCGTGGACACTGCTTCCCGCTCACTCTCCCCTTCACCTCTCCTAACTTCGCTTAATCCTGTCTCTGCCGCCCCCACGAGGGAGCCTTTTCCAGGGGTCACTTGCAAGCCCTTTTCTTCATCAGGAGGCCCGCGGGTCCCCACCACCCCCAGCTTCCTGCAAGCCTGCTTCCACCGCCCAGATCGCGGACCCCAACCTCCTCCCTGGGCTGAAAGGTGGCAACCACGAGACTCTATTCCGCAGGGCTTCGGGTGACATCACATCCTCGGATCGCAAAATCTGGCTCCTAGGCCGGCTGAAGGGCGCGACTCCCGTCCCCGCCCCTCCCCGCCCCGTCCCGCCGCGTCCCGTCCCACCGGCTCCAGCGCGTGTCCGCGGAGCGCGCCATGGCCTCTCGGGTGACCGCCCTGCTCCTGCCGCTGGCCCTGCTGCTCCGTGAGTTTGCGCCCCTCGGGGAGGGCGGGGGGCGGGACGGACGGGGAGCGCGGGGCTCCGGGCTCAGCCTCGTGCCTGCCGCCCCGCAGGTGCCGCGGCGGCCAGCGGGCCCAGCCGGTTCCGCATGACGCCGCTGAAGGTGGTGGGACAGCTGCACGCGCAGGTGGAGCTGCAGTGCCAGGTGCTGCTGTCCACCGCGGCGCAGGGCTGCTCGTGGCTCTACCAGAGGAATGAGCCAGCCGCGCCCCCCGTCTTCCTCTTGTACATTTCCAAGAGCCGGTCCAAGACGGCCGAGGGCCTGGACACCAAACACATCTCCGGCCAGAAGAAGCTCGACGACACCTACAGCCTCACCCTGAGCCGCTTCCGCAAGGAGGACGAGGGCTACTATTTCTGCTCTGTCCTGAGCAACTCCGTTCTGTACTTCAGCCCCTTCGTGCCGGTCTTCCTGCCAGGTCCGGGCGCCGGGGACGCGGCTCCTTTGCGTGTGGGGTTTAGGGCTCACCTCCACTTTTTTCACACGACGCCCCTCTTTCGAGCCTCTTAGCGCCCTGGCGCGGGGGGCGGGGGGCGCTACTTAACACTGCTTGCATTTCGCAGACAGGGAAACTGAGGCTAAGGTGCGACGGGGTGGGGACTGAAGAAGGTTTCTTAGGTCCGAAGGGCCTGGGCTCCAGTTTGGGCGCCTGTCTGCTTGCTCCTGGGAGGGCTGCTGAAATTCTGTGAGCCGGCGTTTGCTCGCCAGTGAAACGCGGGTCAGCCCGAGCCCACGGGCTCGCAGGCTGCACCCTGGAGAACGGCTGGGGGACGGGGAGCGGCTCCCGCGGGGCAGCAGGCGGCCACGCGCGCCGCGACGGGCTGAGCGCGAATCCTGGGGGTCGCCAAGCCATCCCCGCTCCCCGAGCGCAGAGGTCAGCGCGGGTGGAGGAGGGGCCCCCTTGGCCCGAGGCGCGAAGCAGTGGGAAGGGTTAGCGTCGAAGTCCTCCGCCCGATTCCAACCACGGTTTCCCCCGCAGTCAAGCCCCCCACTACGCCGGCGCCGCGGCCACCCACGCGGGCGCCCACCAACGCGTCCAAGCCGGTGTCTCAGCGCGGCGAGACCTGCCGGCCTGCGGCGGGCAGCGCAGGTGAGACGGGCTCCGGGCTCCCGGGCTCCCGGGACGGCGACCGGCCAGGGGCGGTGCGAACCGCGGGGAGAGCCCCCTGCCGGGGCCAGCCCTTATCCTGGAGGCAGCGCCGAAAGCTGTCCGGATGGTGGGGAGACCGAGACCCGCCCCGAGCTGGTGGTGTGGGTTGGAGGATCCTGGGCCAGCTCCTAATGTCAGCGTCTTCCGTGGCTTCAGTGAAAACAAGTGGGTTAGACTTCGCCTGTGAAATCTACATCTGGGCACCCCTGGCTGGGACCTGCGCTGTCCTTCTCCTGTCATTGGTCATCACCATCATCTGCAACCACAGTAAGCCCCTAGGGACCCGCGCGAGTTGGGGGAAGCAGTCAGCTCCACTCCCTCCTCTTGTGCTGCTTGCTCCAGGAAGCCCCTGCCCGACAGAGGATGGCGATTTCAGGGACCCAGCTGCCCTGTAGGGTCAGGCACAGCCCATTTCTCTCCTGGAGACTGAGCTCAAGAAACCTCCTCCTCTTCCTCTTTCCACTCTCTGGGAGGTTTTCAGGAAGACAGAGTCCTTATCCCAGGAGCAGCAGCGGGTGTGTTGAGTTGGCCTAGGGCGCAGGGAGTGCATAGATTCTGGCTTATTACAAACACCCTCAGGAGAAGGTGCCCCAGTGGCCCTGGGACTAGTGCCCAGGAAGACTGGGTCAGAACCATGACCGGTTGAGATTTACCCTGGGCCACCTCCCGGTGAACCCCTTACTACTTTGGGTCCCACTGTGGGTGACTATACTAACCCATCTTAACCCACATCTGTATTTGCAATGCTTTTAAAATTGATGAGAAGAGGGTTGGAAAAGAAGCTCTTACCAAGCTCTCAAGAGTTATACTCCTAAAGAAATAGGAAAAGGGAAGGAGGAACTCTATTTGGGGACTGTTGCTGGTGGTAAGGCAGTCACTTTACCCCTTCTTTTTCTTATCAGGGAACAGAAGACGTGTTTGCAAATGTCCCAGGTGAGTCTTTTATAACCTCTTACTTCCCCTCTGGGCAGACCTATGCACAGGTCCTAGCTTCCCAGGAAGCAGTCGGTGGGAACCTTTCCCAGAGACAGGCCATGGCAGTGGAATTCTGGGAGCAAGGAGTCAGCATAGTTCTTGAGCAAAGAGAGGCACAAGGCTGGCAAGCTGAGGAAAATAGAGGCACAGTTTGCACTGTTCGGGAGAGCCGTGTGACTTGGGTAAATCTCCATCTTTTCTGGTCTAGCACCAAAGATCCTGTCTGAAGGATTCCCCTCAATTAATCCTAGCTCTTCAAAAGAACTGAGGTCTCTTTATCTGGATGATTCCAGCTGGGTTTTGTTGTTTTCTTAGGAAAACTTTTTCCTGGGGATCCCTGGGTGGCGCAGCGATTTAGCGCCTGCCTTTGGCCCAGGGCACGATCCTGGAGACCAGGGATCGAATCCCACGTCGGGCTCCTGGTGCATGTAGCCTGCTTCTCCCTCTGCCTATGTCTCTGCCTCTCTCTCTCTCTCTGTGTGTGTGTGACTATCATAAATAAATTAAAAAAAAGAAAACTTTTTCCCCCCTATTTGCTTATTCTAGACTTTTGAGAGACCAATGTTTTGAGAGAGAGCCAATCTTTTATCGGGGAACCAAATAAACAATGGCCTAGGCTCCTAATCTCCCTGTGCCAATGTAGGGCCTTGATTTAACACCAAGGCTCCAGAGGCAGGAGCAGTTAGCTATCTGGCAGCTCAAGTAACTCTCCCATCCAATTCCAGCCCATGGTCATTCTGAAATGATCAAGAAAAAAATTAAAAAAAACCAGAGACCAGTGCCTGGAAGAGAGGTCTCAATTTTTTCTGTCCTTTGAACTTAGGCCGAGGCAGCCCTTTACTAACGTCTAACTAGCCCCACTCCAGCCCTGCACCATGATGGGAGTTACACTCAGGATCTCTCTTCTCTGCACAGCAATCCCATGTGATAGATACCATGGTTACATATCACAGATTAGCAGGTCAGATCAGGAAACCTACCCCAGACAGCAGAGACATGATGACTCTCAGATTATCAAAATAATATACCATTTGATAAAAGTCTACAGAGTACTTGTTCCTTGTTTTATACGTATTTCTTTTTAAATTTCAAGTTTCATAACAATCCTTCAAGTAGTTACCATTTTTCAGATGAGGAAACTGAGGGTTAGGACATTTAGTGACTTGTTCAAGGCCACACTGTCTGCAAATAGCAGAAATCCAACTTCCATCCAAAGCTCAGGCTTCTTCCTGCAATTGGGTTTGGGGGATGAGAATGTTTAAGGATGATCAGTTCCTTTCAGTAGATGAAAATATTTCAAATTTTATACCTATGGTTTGCATTTTGCACTCCTTGAGATTTCTCTTCAGGAATCCAAGTTCAATATCTCATATGATGTTATTTTTTTAATATATCATTATTTTTAACAGCTGAAAATGTAATGACTTTCCACTGTCTGTATTATAAATGGCATAACAAGGGGATAAAGACCCTTTAAAAACAGAGAAGGATTTTTAACATTTACAAGTATTTGGGGTGCAGTTGGGAGCTTTTAGAGGAGAATCTCCCCATGTCTCTATCTTTTCTGAAAATTCTCAGTTTGAAATGAACTGAGAACAAAACCCTGCCCTAGAATACAAAGCTATACAGAGTAAACATATCTGAGGGATCCCTATGCCTGAGTTAACATACTCAGTGATGCCTGAGGGCAGCTTAGCTTCCAGAGGTTTGGAGGACGGTGTGCATAGACATGACGTTCATGATGAATTAGCCCATTTAGGAGGTGCTAGGCCAGTCCTGAATTAACACATGTTTTTAGGGTCACATCAAATTTGGGTTTTCTGTGTTAGATAAAGTAGCTCTGTTTCACCGATGGTAGTGGTTTGTTCACATCCTCCCTGGGGTTGAGAATCAACTCAACTGATGACTTTGGTTATGAGCTCTTCTCACCTCCATGGGTGCCCCTGACAAGGCTCCCAGAAACTAGATTAACTGGGTTCAGAACCTGCTCTATCACCTCCTAGTTAGGTAACCCTAGGCAAGTTCTCACTCTTTCCCAATGCCCCCCATCCTCAGGCTGCTGTGACAGCAAGATGGCAAATGTAAAGCTCTCGACAGGGTTGCTGACATCATTCACCCAGTCCCCTGCTGGTGTTCCAGGGACAAGTGCTCAGACCTTGTAGGGGTTGGGAGGCTAGGGTGGGTAGAGAGGCATGGATGGATGCAGTAGCACACTGCGGGGGCTCTTGTTGCAATAATGGTTAGTTGCCTGCCTCTCTTTCAGGCCCGTGGTCAGACCAGGAGGCAAGCCCAGTCCTTCAGAGAAATATGTCTAACATGGAGATGGATCCTGCATGACAGCCACTACAAGACCAAATAGAATTCTCTTTATGAGAACAGCAACAGTCCCCCCCTTTTGGTTTTTCCGGACTTCTTCTTTTCTTATGTATCCATTCTCATTATTATTTTTGTGGGGGTTGGGGGGGGAGGTGACTTTTTCTTTATGTGTTTTTCTTAGTTGACCCAAAACAAGACTGTACATCTACAGTACACCACAAGCGTTACAATACCATTGTGTGCATGCATTGGGGTAAAGGGCAGACAGGCTAGAGCTACCATGAGCCATGTTCTCAGAATTTGGTGGTTAGAGCTGGTGATGGGGGGCAGGGGCCAGCGGCGGTGGCGCTCAGCATGACTCAGTCCAAACCTCTTCAGTTGACATCCATGGATGGGGAGCAGCTTGATCAGAGTCACAGCAAGTTTCAGGGCTCTTCTTCCAATCACTCAGGTCTTTATTCTGGAGGCCTCTGTTTCAGCAGGTGGAGTACTGTGTCTCAAACCATAAGGGCACAAGTTATTTCTTAAGCAGCAGTCATAGACCTATGACTATCCCCACAGTCCCAAAAAGGTCATGAAATAAGAGAACTTCTGCCTTTCACAGAGTTCTGTAATGTAGCTGAATAGTATCAGACTTTTTTTTTTTAATAATGAAGTGTGGAATTGTAATGGAATAGGAAGTTCTCAAATAAAGTCGGAGGAGTGAACCGAATCCTGGAAAATGAAAAACTCCATCTCTGAAGAAAATCTCTGGGAAATCCCCAAATGGAGGCAAAATTGCCCTCCCAGCCCTTGCGCCGCAGGGGGAGCCCATGAAAGAGGAGAGACCACCGCAAGTATGATCTGAGCATCAGTATAGTTGAACAGAGGTCCTCTTAAATCTCTAAACCTGAGATAGCATATGTGAACATGCTCCTGAAACATCAAAGACACCTTACGATTTGTAAAGGCCACATTGTTAAGGGCTGCTAGCACAGGCCCTGGCTTCCCCTCCATCAGCAGTTGTGGGGATGTCACAGAAGGGACTCTGGTGAGGAGCCTCAGAGCCAACTCCGCTGCCCTACACACGCATTTCCTCTCTTATGGAGTTGAACAAGCAATGAGTGCTCATTGGAAGGAAAAACTTAGACAAGGAAGTAAGAATCACCTGTAATTCTTTACCTCAGACGTAATCCAGTCTTATTACATTCTTCCTGATTATTTTCTCTGCATATATGTGATGTATATACTTCTGATTTTTAAAAATGGGATTGTTCTATGCTTTTTATAAGTGGCTTTAATAAACAAAACATTTATGACCTATTTTTTAACAATGAAGTAGCTCTCCATTTTCAATTCTGCCAACTTTATTTAACTATTACTCAGCATTTAATTTTCTAGTTTCCAGTTTTTCACTACTATAATAACATAGGATAAAATCCGAAAAGTAAAACTATGGGGCCAGTCCCCACTTTCACTGTGGACTCCCCATTTCCACATCAGTGAAAACTGATTAGCCTCATCTCGCATTACCTTGTCTTTTGTTCTTTCATGGCAACAGATGAGCTGATATTCCTCTCATAATAATAAATCATAAAATCTTCACTCTCCTTGAGGTAAAATATGCATACTGAAAAGGGCCCAAATCCTAAGTGTACAGCAGCTCTGAGACATCATTAAGTGAACACACTCACATAGCCAGCACGAGGTCAGTAGAGAATTTTCCCTGCACTCCTAAACCTGTCGTTTGCAACCTTAATTTTTAAAGCCAAGACATTTTCAAAGAACAGAAATCAAGAGGGAAAAGTGTCGCAAGTGTGAAAAAGCAGAAGTGAAACCTTAGAGTTCCCATGAGACAAGGTATTGTCCTTGCCCTCCTGCTCCCCAAACCTATCCAGCGACCAGAACCAGGAGCCGCTGTGGAGACTGAGACCCAGTTCAGAGAGGGCTTCAGGCTTGGAGGCTGCCTGTGGAAGCTGTCCCTGAATTCCCTGGAAAGGGTGACAAGGAACATCCTGTCTCCTCATGGGAGAAACTTGAGAGAATGGCTGTGGAGTGCTGATTTAAAGAACCCCGGCCAGGGTGAAGACAGGAAGAGGGTTTTTCCTCTTCAACTTGCAGCTCAAGTGATGAGTAGCTGGGCAGCCACCCTGGGGAGGCTCGGAGAGAGATCAATACTTACTGATTTTTTCCATACTCCTTAAAAAGAGTTTCACTTACCATAACTAAAATGGTGAACACTATTTTGGAGATTAAAAATATCAACATGGGGTGTGGGGGGGTACCTGGGTAGCTCAGTTGGTTGGGCATCAGACCCTTGACATCACCTCAGGTCTTGAAGTTTGTGAGTTCAAGTCCCACGTTGGGCTCCATGCTGGGCATGGAGGCTACTTAAAAAGATTTTAAAAATCAACAGAGGAAAAGGTATCCATTAGAATTGGCCCTCAGGACCAGAGAGAAAATTTTTAAAATCTGCACACAGGGCTAAAAGCATGCTAACAGTGGGCTGTAAATTTAGACTCAGGACTTGCTGGTGGCCACAAACATCCAACTGTTCATTCTGCACATGCAGGAGCACCTGACAGTTCAAAGCCAGCAGTTTCAAGTCCAAGTCATATTTCACTTGCCAACTTCTAGCCTAAATCAATGCTTCTACAAATTTCTCCAGGTGGGAGATGCCCAAAACACATTTTTGGACCCCAAGAAACAGGAAGTAGAAAAATGACTTCTCTGTTTTGCATTTACCTTGGTGGTTCATTTAACAAACATTCACTCATTTAACAAAAAACATATTCCATTTGTGGAAGAAAGAACCACAGACCTACGTCATTTCTTTCTCTAGTTGTGAAACTGCCCTGCAGAGAGCCCATGCTACACTTGACTATCCCCCATGACTCTTCAACCAGTGGGACTGGGAGAAGCCTCTTTCACCAGCAAGAAGCAGCCCCTACCCACCCTGCCCCAGGGCTGTGTACAAATTCCACCCCCCACCCTCGATTTTGTGATCATCAGGGGCAGGCAACACTTACTCTGCTCCTAAAAGAAGGCTTGAGCTATGTTTCTCCACCAAAAGAACTGAAGAGGCCACAATTGCCTTAGGTTATATTAAAAGCAGAAAAACTCTGAAAACAGCTTTCTGGCTCTGCTACGGACTCCGTGTTCTCTAGCAAATGACTTAAGGTCTCAAAACCTTGGTTTCCCCACTTATAAAATTGAGGTAATGATAGTCCCTCCCTCAAAGGGTTGTTGGGAAGAATATGAGTTTATATCTATTTTTAAGTGCCTAGAACAGCTTCTGGAACACAGTAACAAAATGTATACTGAAAACAATGTAGTGCATTTTTCAAAACCAGTGTAGTTCCTATTACACTCTGGATTCTGATTCTCCCAACCCCTGTTCTCAAAAATGGTAACTATTTCTGACAGGACACATTATGTATACACCCAGGGATTTTGGCATCCCAGTGCTAAAGTAGGACAACCCTTCATACACATCTCAAGAAAGCTCAGTCCCAGATATACAGTCTTTGCTGTCATTGAGGCTCCCCTCAGCTTCACATCCTGAGTGCCACCCTCCTGTATCCCCTCACCCCCTGCTGCAAGAGAGCTCTACCATTCTTAGAGCTATTGGATAAGGTTGAAAGAAAAAGCATGTGCTCTATACTATTGTGTCATCTCAGCACCTACTGAAGTCCTCATCCTTTTGGGCAACCTCACTTCTGCATCCCAGTTACTAATTCCCTTTTCCTACTCTTCCTACTCTCTCAGGTGGTTGTGATCTGTGGATGTCATTTGTTCTTACGTTTTATTAAATAAAATAATAGCTACCAGTTATTGAGCACTCACCATGGGCCCGCTACCTCATTTGGGTTTCATCAAAGCTATGAAGTAGGAACTATTACCATTCTTCTTTACAGATGAGAAAACTAAGGCACAGGAAGTTTCAAATGTTTGCCCAAGATCACAGGAGAACCTAGTGGATTAAGATTTGAACTCAGGTCTAATCCTATAGCCCAAATGCTTACCTGCTCTGCTATGTTTAATGTTTCTTTAACTAAAGTATGGTTGACACACAATGCTAGTTTTAGCTGTACGACATAGTGATTCGACAACTGTTATGTTTATGTTATGCTGTGCCATCAGAAATATAAGCACCTCAAAACCATTTTTTTTTACACCTATGCAGCCCAAGGTAGAGAACAAAGGTCACCACCTGCTCTGAAATCAAACAAATGAGATCCTGTCTGAAGTTAGGGTGAGGGCCCTGCTTCTAACACAAATACCACTAGGGGCCAAGAAATGCTGCTCAAGAAGATGGTTCAGTGACAGCTAACTCTTCATTTGTCTAATATCTCAGGGCAGGTGCAGATGGCTTAATTCCTTTACGTGAGTGAAATTTCATCTGTTTCCCAGCTCAAAGGCACAGGTAAGTGTGGCAGAGACTTCAGGTTGCTTTTCTTTTTTTTATATATATATTTTGTTTTTATTCAAGAGTTTACTCACAGGTAGCACTTTAAAATCAGGCTTTTAAAATTAAAGGCCAAAACTAAAAAATTTTGCAAATATGACACTGCTAAAAGAATGATCGTCTTAATAATTTAAACCCTAAAATGTCCTGTGGAGTTAAAGTCTTTATACATAGACTGTGTAAGATCAATATCATTTAAAATAAACAACTGAAAAACCACAGATTTGGGCAAATTTGTCAATGAAGATAATCATCAGTTTCAGCCTTCCAGAGTATGAAAACCAGCAATTAATTCATCTTGTGACAGAATATAAACTATGCTTCAGAATTCGGACTTTAAAGTCTCTTTCTCCAGCAGCAAGTCAGCATATCTATGCTGAAGTTCTTTTTCTCTTTCCTGTTGTCACTGAACATCTTTCAGACACTCTAGCCTCCGGGGAATAGCAGAATCTTCATGTTTCTTGAGTTCTTCAAAAGTGCGTAACTCCAAGTAAGCCTGCTCAATTTGGTCCCATAAGTCATTCAACTGTTTCATGAGCCCCATAGCACGAGATTGGTAACCCCCAAGCAAAATTTTCATCTTCTTCTCCATCTTTGCAGCTCTCTTGGCTTCCGTTATCATGTGACCCCTGTTTATCTCCAGCCTCTTTTCCAGTGACTCGATCCCGTCCTTTTTGCTAGCTAGGTTGGCCCGTGTGTAGCGGCTCTGCCCAGGAAGATACAAAACTTGGCTGTAGCATTCTTCCCATACCTGGTTATAAGCTTCACTTGAGAGTTCTCCGTGGCTCATACCTTGTTTTACCACTTCCATCTCCTGTACCAGAACATCCTGGGCCTTTTTCAGCTCTTCTTTGGAGAATTTTTCATAAGGGTTATGTTCCAGATAGGCAATGTGTTCTGAATTATTAGTACCAAATCCTACAGTTTTCCCTTTTTTATTTCCAGATGGTTCATAAGGATAATGTAGAAGGTCATAATGAAGCATTGTAATCATTTCTTTTTTGATTAGTTCTTCACTTTTTTTTAAATCTGTTAGAGGTGGTTCTACATTTAGGGGTCTTAGAATAGTTTCATTTACTTCTGATGGTCTTGGCAGATCTTTCTGGACAGCTTTGTGCATTCGTTTCATTTCCTTTACACATTCTGCCTCTCGTATAGCCTGCTTTCGAGCATCCACATCAGCAGCATCTTCAATGTAAGTATCATCTATTTCACGGTCTTCCAGCTCCTTCTCAGCATTTTCTGGCAGAACAATTTCAAAGTCATTCTTAGGGGCAGGAAGACCCAACAACCCTAAGCGGAGATGTTCACGAGATTCTCTTTCCATCTGCTTCACATAAGAGGGGTCACTGTAGTCTGCCATTCCATCCTCAGGATTAATGTTTAACTTGTCTCGAAGAGGAGTTCTACCCGGGGTGGAGTTAATAACTGGTTTGGGAGTTGTCCCACTGCGGGGAGTCAACCCTTCAGATCCATGAGAAGGGGTCCTGAATGGGGTAGAAAGAACTGTGTTTGGAGTCTGTACAACCTGCCGCTGAGGAGTCACACCTGAGAAGTCACTCTCGTGCAAAGGGGTATTAAGATCACCTTTTAATGGGGTGTCCACATTGGTCAGGGCCATGAGGTTCTGAGCTTCCTGCAGAATTCTATCCTGGGAAGCTGGTGTGCGAGGTGTTCTAAGAGCAATACTGTTGTTGGTGACATTGTACTCAGAAAAAAAGAGTACTGGAGGCAGAGTTTGTTATACCAGATTCCTCAGCAGTCTGACGTGCAATTTCACTTGCTTGGCCTACTTTCACCACCTCTTGGAGTTCAGCATCTGAAATCTGAGGGGCAGGAAGTACTAGTTTGCTTCTCTTTTTAGTAAATTCAGAAACACCACTAGTCTGAAGAATAGCTGATGGTAAATCAGATTCTTTTTTCCTTTTCAAATGCTGCTTATCTTTTTTTGTCTCTTCCTTCTTTTTCAGATCTTAGTTCCCCATCAAGATCCTGTTGTCTTAATTTTCTGAAATCTGCATCAAGAGCCTGGTAGTTTTCCTCAGAAGTATCGTAGAAACCAAGTGCAGGCTTTTTTTCAAATGGGATTTCGGCATTATAATCAACTCCTCTCTTCTTTTTTCTCTTCTGAATTTCTATGCCAGCTGCTCGAAGTTCTCTTCTCTTCTCTTCTGGAGGGCCGCAAGATGCCTTGCTTCTTCCAATTGTTTCTCTCTTGCTTTCCTCTTGGCTTTCTTTCCCTGAGTATTTGCCAGGCAGGCTCTAGCTTCAGAAAGCATCTCAAGTTCATCCTCATCCATATCAATTGGATCAGGCTGCGCTGGTTTTGTTTCTGGATTTGGATCTATTTCTCCAGGTTTAAGTTTTCGTGGATCATCTGTTGTTTCCTCTTCGTTGTCTCTCTGTGCAGCTTTATCCAAAAGAAACTCATAGTGTTCCAAGCACTGGGCAGCTGCTCTTCCGATGATTGGCGCAATAGTCCTCCACTGAGTTGGCATCAACTTGGCCAAATGCAAGAGTTTTTCTTCTTCTTCTCTGGACCACTCTGTTTTCTTACTGCTTGGATCCAGCCACTCATACCATCTGGCTTTGCACTGCTTTGCTGATTTTCTATGCAGCAATGAGGCAATCCTAGACCACTGGTTTTTTCCATATTTCATTACTGCTGCTTTCAGAATTTCATCCTCGGTATTCCTCCACACGCCCCCCTTGATCATAATTCGAGGCATCTTGGCTGCGGGGTGTCTCGGCAAGCGGCCGAGAGGAGCTTCACAGAAGTAGTAACGGTGCTGCGGCCACAGGACCTAAAGCCGCCACTTCCTCCAAGCGTGACCTTCTGGTTTGAAGAGATCTGCGCAGGCTCCTCAGGTTGCTTTTCTAACAACCGTTCTCCCTTTCTTCCTTACTACCACAACC